CGATGTGCTCACTGTGGAGCTCTACCCCTCCGATAAGAGGTGAGGGGCCTATGGGTGCTGGGGGTGAGGTTTTGGGTCCTGGGTGCAAGGTTTTGGGTCCTGGGTGCAAGGTTTTGGGTGCTGGGTGCCAGATGTTGCCATGCTGGGGGTGAGGTTTTAGGTCCTGGGTGCCAGGTTCTGGGCATAAGGCTTTGGGTGTTGGGTACCAGATGTGTTGCTGGCTGCCAGATGTGTTGCTGACTACCAGAGGCATTGCTGCCTGCCAGATGTTGCCGTGCTGGCTGCCACATCTGGGTACCACATTCTGGCTGCGCTGCTGGGTACCATATCCCAGGTACCCCCTGCCCCAGCGCGCTGGGCCTGGTGGGGACCTCACCTCCATGGGTGCCCCCCCACCTCCATGGGTGCCATCCCAACACCCTGCCTCCCCGCAGGACGACGGCGTTTGGGTTCCTGAACGCTCTCTGCAAGCTGGCGGCCGTGCTGGGCATCAGCATCTTCACCTCCTTCGTGGGCATCACCAAGGCCGTGCCCATCCTCTTGGCCTCGGCTGCGCTCGCCCTCGGCAGCTCCTTGGCCCTCAAACTGCCTGAGACCCGGGGGCAAGTCCTGCAGTGATGGGGGGGGGACCCCCCTAATCCTTCCCTTTACCTCTCCCACCCCCCCCATTCCCAAATCCCAGCTCCCCTTCCGGGGGGATTAGTCTCGTTAGACACTGTGAAACGTCTTCTTGGAGCATTTGGGAAATTCATTTGCACTTGGACCCCCCCATACTCCTGACACCCCCCCCTCCCCCCCGATTTCCTTCCTTGGTGTCATCCCTCTGTGAATAGCTGCTCGCTCCTGGGGGGGCTGGGGGGACCCCAACATCCCTGGGAGGAGGAGGAGGAGGAAGGCTCCATGCCTCAGTTTCCCCATCTGGAAGGGCAGGGGAAGGGGTCCCCATTGCACCCCCAAACCCAGCAGGATGGGGAACAGAAGGGGGGGCACTGCAGTTTGGGGGTGCACCATGCTTGGGGTGCACATCCCTTTGGGGCATGGAGCAATTTGGAGTGCAGTGACCCCCCCCCAACTACAGCTCGGTTTGAGGGGGTGCAAGGGGGTCCCAGCTGTGTTTTGGGGTGCAGGGGGGGTGCAGCCCCCTCAAACTGCCTTTATTTAGTGACTTTGAGCTCATTCTTAAAGGACGCTCCTGCTTTGGGGTGCTGATGGGGGGGTGCACCCTGGACCCCCTTCCCCCCCCAGCACACCTTTACCCCCATCCCAAAGCACAAAGCCACCAGTGGTTTGCAAAGCACAAAGCGCCCCCCTAAATAACGGGGTACATGGGGGCCCCCCAAAAAAGTGGGGTACAGGGGGGCCCTGTCGCTGTGCCCCCCCCAGCAGAGGATGGGAAGTGTTGGTCTATGCAAAAGCACTTTGGAAGCCCCCCCCATCATGGGAAGCCCCCGACGATGTAGAGCAGCCCCCCCCAAGCAATCGTGTGCTTCATCTCCTCCTCCTCCTTCCCCCCCGTCCCCATCCCTCGGTGTAGCTGGTCCTGGGGGGGCCCGACCCCCCCCAAGTTCTGTCTGTTCGCAGTTGTGCCGTGCTGTAGTTTTTAGATGTTTGTAAATTAATTAAAACAACGGAAAACCAATGGAAAAGTGCCCAAAATGACCCCAAATCCCCCCAAAATGACCCAAATCCCCTCCAAATGACCTAAAACTCTTCAGATCTCCCCAAACTCCCAAGTGATCCAGCAGTCCCCAAACCCCTCTGAAAAGACCCCAAATCCTTTCCAAAAGACCCTAAATTCTCCCAAACGACCCCAAATCCCTCTGAAAAGGCCCCAGATGGCTCCAAAATGACCCCAAAGGCCCTAAATCCCTCCCAAAATGACCCCAAATCCTTTCCCAAAAGACCCTAAATTCTCCCAAAGGACCCCAAATCCCTTCCAAAACATCCCAAATGGCTCCAAAATGACCCCAAAGTCCTTAAATCCCCCCCCAATGACCCCAAATCCTTTCGAAAAGACCCTAAATTCTCCCAAAGGACCCCAAATCCCTTCCAAAACATCCCAAATGGCTCCAAAATGACTCCAAAGTCCTTAAATCCCCCCCAAATGACCCCAAATCCTTTCCAAAAGACCCTAAATTCTCCCAAACGACCCCAAATCCCCCCCCCCCTCAAAGTTCCCAAATCCTCCCATACTGACCCAAAACTCCCCATATCCCCCCTGGAATGATGCTCCACCTTCCACTTCCCAGTTGCTCCCATGGGAGAGTTTATTTGTGTGTGTGTGTGTAGGGGGTGGGCTTCACCCCCCATTCCCAATCTGTTTCATGGGGGGGAGCAATGGGGGGGGGGGGTGTCACGGGGACACCCCCAAACCCCCCTTACAGCTGCCCCCAGTGTGCTCAATGCACGGAGGGGGGGGGGGGTCCCCGTTACACGTGGGTTCACCACGGGGACCGGGGGGGTCCCTTTAGGGCTCCCCGGCGCCGTCCCCGCGCTGCTCACGCTTGGAGCCCCCGAGGCACGGGGGCCGTGCGGGGACGCTGGGGTCGCTCTCCCATTGCTGCGGGGTGCGGGCCACGATGGCGAGGGCGTGGAGCGGCCCCGCGAGCTCGGCGCTGAGCGCGGCGTGCACCAGGCGGTGCCGCTGCAGCGGGGGGAGCCCCTCGAAGCGCCCGCTCACCACCACCACGGCCAAGTGCGTGCCGGCCCCCGCGGCCCCGCCGTGCCGGGGGCTCTCGTCCAGCACCTGCAGGTGCGAGGGCTCCAGCGCGGCCGCCAGCTTGGAGCGCACGGTGCGGGCCAGGGGACCCTCGGCCATGGCCGCTCCCCCAGCAGCCAGCAGCGAGCCCCGCATCCGGCAGCGCCTGCAATGGGGCGGGGAGGGGGGGAGAAACAGGTCCCAGTTATGGGGGAGCAGGAGGGGAGGATGGGGATTGCCTGGGGGGGTGAGGATCAAACCCCGATTATGGGGGGGGCAGGAGGGGAGGATGGGGGTTGCTTGGGGGGGGTTTAGGGGGCCCTTCAGGATCAGAGCCCAGTTATGGGGGAGCAGGAGGGGAGGATGGGGGTTGCTTGGGGGGGGTTTAGGGGGCCCTTCGGGATCAGAGCCCAGTTATGGGGGAGCAGGAGGGGAGGATGGGGGTTGCTTGGGGGGGGTTTAGGGGGCCCTTCGGGATCAGAGCCCAGTTATGGGGGAGCAGGAGGGGAGGATGGGGGTTGCCTGGGGGAGTGAGTATCAAACCCCAATTATGGGGGGGGGGCAGGAGGGGAGGATGGGGGTTGCTTGGGGGGTGGATTTGGGGAGGGCCTTCAGGACCAGACCAGTTATGGAGGAGGCAAGAGGGTAAGATGGGGTTTGCTGGGGGGGGGAGGATCAGATCCCAGTTGGGAGGGGGGGACAGGAGAGGGGGTTACTTGGGGGGGAGAATCAGATCCCAGTTATAGGGGGGGCAGGAGAGGAGGATGGGGGTTGCTGGGGGGGGGTGAGGATCAAACCCCAATGATGGGGGGGCAAGAGGAGAGGATGGGGGTTACTTGGGGGGGATTTAGGGGGGCCTTTCAGGATCAGACCCCAGTTATGGGGAGGAGGCAAAAGGGAAAGATGGGGGTTGCTGGGGGGTGAGGATCAGACCCCAGTTATGGGGGGGGCAGGAGGGGCCAAGGGGTTTGCTTGGGGGGAGGGTGGTGATGATGAGACCCCACTTATGGGGAAAGGAGGGGAACTGTGACTCGGGGGGGGCTGTAGAACCAGGCCCCATAAATGGGGGTGGGGGAGAAAGGGGTGCAGGAGGGTGAAAGGCCCGGCTTTGGGAAGTGGGGTGGGGAGCAAGAGGGGCCTGACCCCCCCAAACCCCATTTACCCCACACGGTGCCCCCCCAACCCCATTTATCCCACACGGTGCCCCCCCAAACCCATTTACCCCACACGGTGCCCCCCAAACCCCATTTATCCCACACGGTGCCCCCCCAAACCCCATTTACCCCACACGGTGCCCCCCAAACCCCATTTATCCCACACGGTGCCCCCCCAAACCCATTTACCCCACACGGTGCCCCCCAAACCCCGTTTACCCCACACGGTGCCCCCCCAAACCCCGTTTACCCCACACGGTGCCCCCCAGACCCCGTTTACCCCGCACGGTGCCCCCCCCAAACCCCGTTTACCCCACACGGTGCCCCCCCCAAACCCCATTTACCCCCCCCCAAACCCCCTTTGGACCCCCCCAAACCCCATTTACCCCACACGGTGCCCCCCCAAAACCCCATTTACCCCACACGGTGCCCCCCAGACCCCATTTACCCCACACGGTGCCCCCCCAAACCCCATTTACCCCACACGGTGCCCCCCCAGCCCTCACCACGCACGACTCGGGCTCCGCTCCGGCGCTGAGCACGCTGGGAAATGGAGTCACGCCGTCCCACCCCCGTCACGTGACCGCGGCAGAACTACAGCTCCCAGGAGGCTTTGAGCCCGGCCCCCACAAACCCCGCCCCATTGCGGGGAGGCCACACCTTCCCCCTTCGGCCCCGCCCTCCTTCCCTATGATTGGCGGAGAGCTTCCCTCGGCCCGCCCCCTCATGCCCTCATATGGCGTGGCGGGTTGAATGAGAGTGGGGCGTGGGTGTTGGCGCTGCGGGATCGGGATCGGGATCGGGATCGGGATCGGGATCGGGATCGGGATCGGGATCGGGATCGGGATCGGGATCGGGATCTCCCTCGTTCCTACCCCCGAGCCCGGACCCTCCCCTCCGCCCCGAATGAACTTTTCTCTTCCTCCTCCTCCTCCCGCACTCCCTGCCCGTCCCCGACCCCGCTTTTCCCGTCCGTCTCCCCGGAATCCTGCCCAGCCCGGACCTCCTGCTCCTTTCCCGGACTCCCCTCTCTAGGCTGGGGATCTTGTCTCACCCTTCTCCATCCCGGAGCTCTTCCCTGCATCCCACATCCCCCGCTCCATCCCGGATAGTCCTCCCCATCCTTGGATCCCTTTCTCCAACCCTGGATCCCGGATCACTCTCTCCATACCCGAACCCCGTTCTTCATCCCCGGATCCCGCCTCCATCCCGGACCCCCTTCTCCATTCTCGGCTCCTCCCGCTCCACCCCCGACCTCTTCCACCATCTCGGAGCTCCCCACCTCCATCCTCGCTCCCCCTTCTCCATCCCCTGCCCATCCCGGGGCTCTCCTCTCCCTGTCGGGGCTCCCCCCCGTCCCCCAGCATGGCTTTGGCAGCGGGGCCGTGGCCGGAGCCTCCCCTTCCTCCCGCTCCTCCTCCTGCCCCCGGCGGCGCCGCGGGGCGGGCGGCGGGGCCGTGCCGGGTGTGCGGGGACCGGGCGAGCGGGAAGCACTACGGGCAGGTGACCTGCGAGGGCTGCAAGAGCTTCTTCAAGCGCTCGGTGCGGCGCAACCTCGCCTACAGCTGCCGGGGGGGCCGGGACTGCCCCGTGGACCAGCCCCACCGCAACCAGTGCCAGTACTGCCGGCTCCGCAAGTGCCTCCGCGTGGGGATGCGGCGGGAAGGTGGGGTGACCGGAGGGGAGAGGGGTCGGGATGCGGCGGGAGAGGGAGAAGGGATGGGAAGGGTAAAAGAGTGGAGAGGAGATGGAGAAGGGATGGGAAAGGAGAGAGGGTGCAAAAGAAGAGGGTGGAAAATAAGCAAAGGGGATGGAAAAGGAGGAGAAGGGATGGAAAATAAGGATAGAGCATGGAAAAGGAGAGGGTGGAAAAGAAGGGGAGAGGGTGGAAAAGGAGAAGGGATGGAGAGGGGGTGGAAAAGGAGAAGAAGGAATGGAAAAGGAGAGAGGGTGAAAAAGAGGGAGAAGGGATGGAAAAGAGGGTTACAGCATGGAAAAGGAGAGGGTGGGAGAGGAGAAGGGGTGGAGAAGGAGGAGAGAGGATGGAGAAGGGATGGGAAAGGAGAGAGGATGGAAAGGGAGGAGAGGGGATGGGAAAAGGAGAGAGGTGTAAAAAAAGGAGGGAATGGAAAAGGTGAAGGGATGCAAAAGGAGAAGGTGGAAAAGAGGGAGAAGGGATGGAAAAGAAGGACAGAGCATGGAAAAGGAGAGGGGATGGAAATGATGTGGTGGAAAAGAAGGGGAGAGAGAGGAAAAGCAAAAGCAGGGATGAAAAGGAGAAGAGGAGGTGGAAAAGATAAAGGGATGGAAAAGAGTGGGTGCAAGAGGAGGATGGAGGGTGGAAAAGAGAGAGAGAGGGTGGGGAAGCCAGCACAGAGGGGAGGTAAAACTAGGGGAGAGGCTGGAAAAGGCCGGGAGAGCAGGAGAGAGGAAGGTGAGAGTGGGAGGAAAAGGTGGGGAAGAGCCAAAGGGAGCAAACGAATGAAAGGAAAGGGAAGAAAAAAGAGGAGGAAAAAGAGGGAAAGTGAGAAGGAGAAGTGAGGGAGCGGGTGCCAATGGTGCGGACAAAGGGAAAGAGCAAAGTGGGAGCGGGAGAGCTGGAAAGAGAAAGGAAAAGAGCAAGGAAAAGGGGAGAGAAAGGAAAAGAAAGTGAAAGCGGGTGGGAAAGGAAAGAGAAAGGGAAAAGGAGGAAAGAGAAAGGGAAAGCTCCTCTCCCTCTTCTCTTTCATTCCCCCTCCATTCTTTTCCCTCCCTGAGCCCCATCAGTTTGGGAAGAGCGCCCCAAATCCAGGGATCCATCCCCGAATCCCCCTGGCCCAGCCCCATCCTTCTGCTATAGTTGTTGGCTTTTCCCATGGGAAAGGCTCTGCCACGGGAACCCGGCTATTCTCCCACCCAGTTATATCCTCTTTTCACCTTGAGCCCAGTTTGGGCTCGGGTTTTAGCTCTGGTCTATGCTGAGATGGGGCCAATTGACTTCTCCTCTCCATTAAATGTTAAAAAACTCGGGAATAATACAGGTAATTCTTTAAAAGATTAAGAATTCCACTTTTTGGGAGCAGTATCCGGTAAATCTGACCTAAATTAGCCCAAACACCTTACATAAAACCCCATTTCAAGCTTCCAGCGACATCCCTGTGCCTCCAACCAGCCCCAGCACCGCATATTGGGTTGATTTGATTGCGGGTTTAGCCCCAGAAGTAGGCTTTGGGGCAGTTTAAGCCCCAAATGGGGCATCGGGGCATCCTCAGCATCAAATCTCTGCCGTGCAGCATCCTCCCCGATTGAATATGGACCCGGCGGGGGGAGTCCTGATTTCTAGTCAAGGTACTTATTTATACACTCAGTGTTTAGAAAGGATTATAACAAGGGCTTAGGCTGGGCTTAGCTGCTTAAAGCAGGGATTTATCCTGCGTCGGTGGCAATGGCACCCAGAAAATCACCTTTTTTAGTCTCCAAACCCAAAGAAAAAGGGCAAAAAACCGACAAGTTGTTTTTGTTTTTTTTTTTAAGCAATAAAAATAATAGCAAATAAATCAGAACAATTGGGATAAAGGGGAAAACTCCCACTGGGAGGAGGGGAATGGCCAGCCTGGCTCGCACAAATAAATGGGATTTAGGTGGGAGCAGCTCAGGGATCAAGTCAGCTCAAGCCTAACTCTCAGTTCTCCCTGTTTCTCCCCCAAAAGTCCAGTTGGATAGGTTTGGGATTTTGGGAGCAAGACCCAGTCGTAGCAAACCTCTGCCTTCTTGGTGCAGCTGGAGCCAGGGATCAAATCCCAGGGATAAAGAGCCCCAATCCAGGCAAATTCCCTGAAGGTTTTGGGGCTCGGGTTTGGGAGGTTATTTTGTTGTTGGTTTTCATCTTTAGTTCAGAATTGCCACAAGATGCTGGTTCCCCATGGGATCTGATGGGATAGGACCTGCCACGGCATTATTCCCGAGGCAGGGACCCTCATTCCCTGCATCCCTCTTAGCTCTGTTTTTGGGGGGCTCCCAGTTGTCCCCCGATGAAGCTGTTGGGTGAATGCTGCGTGTGCCCATGTTCAAGCTTCCCATCCCCGTCACTGGGGCTGGCTGCTCCGTGCCTCAGTTTCCCCACCCGCTCAGGGATGCTCCAAACCCACCGGTTCATCACGATTCCCCTTATCCCGGCTTTCCCAGCTGGGAATCGGCACCGAATCTGGCATCAAATCCAGCACTGAAAACTCAGGAGCAGTGTGCTGCTCTGGAGGATTGGGGTGGTGTAAAAGGGGTTCAAGGGTGACGCAAAGGGGGGTCACGGTGATGTAAAAGGTGCTCAGGGTGATGCAAAGGGGTTTGGGGCGTTGCAAAGGGGGTTTAGGGGTGCAAAGGGGGGGTGAGGAGAGGGTGCTGCTGAGCAAAGAGAGCATTTGGGGGGAGTCTGGGGCTGCATGTCGAGGTTTGAGTGAGAGCAGCCCCCGACCCCCCGATTCCACGAGATCCCAACCCTGCAGGAGCCCCATTCCCTGGGGACCCCCATTCCCGAGTCCTACCGCTGGTGACACTGGGACCATCGCGCTGCATTAGACTAAGCCAGGCTCAGGGCCGAGGAAGAAGAAGAGGAAGAGAAGGTGGCCGAGGCCCCCCTTCCCACAAGAAAAACCAACAACAATCCAATTGGGGTGGGAGTTAACCCCATAGTGGGAAATCTCAAGGGATGGGACCTGAAGGGGAGCTCCTTCGCCCCCCTCCCCCCCAGCATCTCTGTGGGTACCCCCATTAGCACCAGCAAGGGGGGGGGGGTTGGACGGACCCCAGATGCGATGTGCCTGTGGGAGCTGGTGGAGCAAGGGCATCGCACGGAGTAGGGGGGGCTGTCCCCATCCTGGGAGCACATCCCCTGCTCTAACGGGTGGAGACACCCCAAGGGACCCCTCAGCCCGCACCCTGGGTGCACACAGGGACACGCAGGGGTGTTGGCACGGGGGGTGCTGACCTCCTGCTCCTCTCCGCAGCGGTGCAGCGGGGCCGCGTGGCTCAAGGTCCCCCCAGCCCCGGGCAGTGCCCTGCGCTCCCCGGGGACCCCTACGGTGGCCGCGGCTGCTTGAGCGGCTTCATCTCGGTGCTGCTCCGAGCCGAACCGTACCCGCCGGCTCGCTACGGCGCCCAAGCCCTGCACCCCGGCGTCGTGGTGGGCATCGAGAGCATCTGCGAGCTGGCGGCGCGGCTCTTGTTCAGCGCCGTGGAGTGGGCCAAGGGCATCGTCCCCTTCTTCGCGGAGCTGCCGCTCTCGGACCAAGTGGCGCTGCTGCGGCTGGGCTGGAGCGAGCTCTTCGTGCTGAACGCGGCGCAGGCGGCGCTGCCCGTGCACGCCGCGCCGGTGCTGGCGGCCGCCGGGCTCCACGGCGCTCCGGTGGGCGCTGACCGCGTGGTGGCCTTCATGGACCACGTCCGGCTCTTCCAGGAGCAGGTGGAGAAGCTGAGGGTGCTGCAGGCGGACGCCGCCGAGTTCGCCTGCCTGAAGGCTGTGGCCCTCTTCAGCCCCGGTGAGGGAGGCGGGGCTTAAAGGGGTGTGGTTCTGTGGGTGGGGCTTGGTGGGGTTGGGTACCAAGGGGGTGGGTGCTTGGGTCCGATGGGTGTCGATGGGTGTGCAGGGAATGAATGGGCTGGGGATTGGGGGGCGTGGGGCTCAATGGGAAGTGGGAAGGGGGGGCAGGCATCAATGGGTGTGCAAGGGATGAATAGGCTGGGGATGCGTGGGCGCGGGAAAACGGGGCGTGGTTTAAAGGGGTGGGGTTTAAATGGGTGGAATCAAACAGGGTGGGGCTCCAAGGAGCTTAACGGGGAAAGAGGGGGGATGCCAAGGGGGGAGCATCAATGGGTGCAGAGGGGATGAATGGGATGGGGGTGGGTGGGTGCGGCTCCATCGGGCGGAGGTTAAAGGGGGGGGGGGGCAAGGAAGGCGGAGCTTAACGGGGTGGGGTCCCAATGGGACCGAATGGGCGGGGTTTAACGGGGCGGGGCTCGGCGGGGCCGTGCCTCAGTTTCCCCCGTGCAGACGCGGCGGGGCTGTCGCAGCCGGGGCGCGTGGCCGGGCTGCAGGAGCAGGCGCAGGTCGCGCTGCAGGAACACGTGCGGCGGCGGCACCCGGCCCAGCCCGGCCGCTTCGGGCGCCTGCTCCTGCGCCTGCCCGCGCTGCGCAGCGTCCCCGCGCCCGGCATCCAGCGGCTCTTCTTCAGCCGCCTGGTTGGGGAGACCCCCATCGAGACCCTCATCCGCGACATGCTGCTGGCCGGGGCCAGCCTCAGCTGGCCCCATGGAGCCATGCAGTGATCCCAGCCCTGCCGTGGGATGGGGAGCCCAAAGATGGGGACAGCGAGGTTGGGACCTCAAGGATGGGATCCTAAAGATGGAGGCATCAAAGGTGGGGACAGCAAGGATGGGACCTCAGGGATGGGAGCCCAAAGATGGGGGCATCAAAGATGGGGACAGCAAGGACGGGAGCCCAAAGATGGGGCACCAAAGATGGGGACAGCAAGGATGGGACCTCAAGGATGGGGGCCCAATCATGGGGACACCGAAGATGGGGACAGCAAGGATGGGACCTCAGGGATGGGAGCCCGAAGATGGGGCACCAAAGATGGGACCTCAAGGATGGAAGCCCCGTCATGGAGACACCAAAGATGGGGACAGCACGGATGGGACCTCAAGGATGGGATCCTAAAGAGGAGGGCAGCAAGGATGGAGGACACCAAGGATGTGACCTCAAGGATGGAAGCTCAAAGATGGGGACACCAAAGATTGGAACCCAGTGCTGAGACTCCAAAAATGATGGAACCTCGACAAGGGGATCCCAAAGATGGAACAGCGAGGACTGGATCCCAACGATGGGACTACACAGATGGGGACACCAAGGCTGGGACCTCAACGATGGGATCCCAAAGATGGGGGCATCAAGGATTGGAGCTCAGTGATGGGACCCCAATATGGGGTGACAAAGGATGGGATTCTGGGGTCCTGATGTAGAGTTTTGAGTGTGAGATCACATCAGTTCTGCTTGGAATTCTTTATACATTTGATTTCTTAATTTATTTGTATTTTTTTTAATTTTTTACTGACATTTTTACACTTTTTATTTTTATTTAACATTTGAATTTAAATTTATTTTTGTTTAGTTTTCATTCCTTCTTAATTTTTATTTTTAAAATTTTATTTTATATTCCCTTTATAATTTTAAAGTATATGAATTTTTAATTTAAATGTATTTATTTATTTATTTCTAATTGTAAAAGTTTCTACTTTTTTATTTGATTTTTTATTTTTTACTTCAGTTACAAATTAAGTTTTCATTTTCCTTTTTGATGTTACTTTTATTTATTTGTTTTTATTTTTATGTTATTGTTTCTGTTTTAAAGGGTTTTTATATTTTTATTTTGTTTTTATTTTTAATTTATTTTTATTTTTTCTTTAAAGTTTTTACATTTCTCATTTTCTTTTTTATTTCATTTCAATTTTTATTCTTATAGTTCTAATTTCATGGTTTTATTTTATTCTTTTTAGTTTTTTTAATTTAATTTTAAATTTTTAGGTTTTAATTTTCTTTTTTAATTTTTCAGGTATTTATTTTAAATTTCAAGGGGTTTCCTAATTTATTTTATTTTGGGCGGTAAAAAAAAATCAAATTTGACCAATTCCACACTTTGTTTTGGTTGTTTTTTTCCTTGCTTGGGGCTGGAATTGGCAGGAATTGGGGCTGGAATTGGCAGGAAATGCCGGTGTCAAGCCCTGGGGCCTCCATCCATGTCCCCCCCGTGTGCACTCAGCACACGGATGTACACGGATGTACATGGATGTACACGCACGCATCCACGTGCCGGTGCACACACGTGTGCAGGGTGGGAATGGTTCACTCGGGGATTTATTGGGTCCCATTCCCTGTGTCCTCTTCCCATCCTTAGGTCCTCAGCCCTTCCCTAATCCCATCCTCATCCTCCTCCACATCCCTAATTCTCATCCAGCCCCAGCCCCACCCTTATCTCTTTTTCTGTTCCTATCCTCGTCCCAATCCCACCCCCATTCCTGTCCCTTATCCTATCCCCATCCCAACCAATGCAAGCACGAAGGGCACAATCCTGTGTATGTGCTGGCAGGGATGGGCTGACGATGGCGGAATTGGGATGGAGAGACCGTGGTCGGGAGCAGTGGGATGATGTTGTAGTGAGGCTGGATTTGGGGCCCAGCCCTTATAGTAGACAGCAGAGAATCCACCTGGACACAACGCCTGGGGCCTCCTGCCCCAGGCTCTCACCCCTCAGAGGAGCCCGGGGGGGGTTTCCAGCAACCTTAATTCCATCAACCCCTTGGTCCATCCCTGCTGGCTCCTGCATCTGCAGGCCTGGAATCAGGCCAGCCCCTTCCTTGCCTATTTCCCCACCAGCTCTGGCTGGGAAAAGCCAGATAATAGGGAGGGAAAAATGGGATGGGAGTGAAAATGAGAGGTCCTGGCATGGGATGGGATGTCCCACGGCACCGGTGTGTCCTCGCGGATGCGCCAAGGGTATCCATCAATCTGGGACAGCGCAGCTGCCCCTTCCCGTAAATGCTTCTTAATTCCTGCCAAATCACTGCACAATTCCAGGACATGGAAATCAAATGACTCCATTGCCATGGACATCTATTGCCTCTGGGGAGTGACAGGATGAAGAATCACTTGCTGCTGATTGGAAAGGGCCATGGGGAGCATTCCAGAAGGACAGAGCTGGCACTGAGATGTCCATCCCAAGGCCTGGCAGGTGGGACACTGGGGACAATGGAATGGATGGGATGCTGATGCCGGCACTGTGGATGGGACAATGATGTCCCCTGCCTTTGGCCATCCCCAATCCACATGGATCATCCGTGGCTAATAAAACCAGTGCTAGGGCTAAGAAATCCATCATGGATACAGCATGTGAGGTTAACATCCAAGAAATCAGCCCTTCATCCTGGCTTTTATCCCCGTGCTGGGAGGGTAGCATGCCCTGGGATGTCCATACCCATTCCCACAGGACCTTATTCTGTTTTTTCCCCCTCATCATGGCTTGGGCTGTTCCCCTCCATGGTGCAGGGGGGAGATGGGGATCAGTCGTGAAAGGGATGGAGAGAAGGAGGGATGGACAGACACGGCATCCCAGGAAAACCAGGACATTCCAGGTGCTTCTTCAGCCTGCCTGGACCCCCTTCAGCTCAGCTACGGGTGAGATTCCCCACTGGAAACTTATTCCAAGTCCTTCCCAGATAAAAACCCATCCGGCCCACTTGCTTCAACCCCCCTGGTCCCGACCCCGGGAACAGGGATGGAGCCCGGAGAAGCAGCCAACAGTGAGATGTGGTATCCCCTGGCTGGGAAACCATTCCTAAGGGGGGATAAAGAGGGCTATTGGACACCTGGCTGCAGTGTGGCTCTTGCATGGGCAGGGAAAGGTCAGGCCCTGGCTGGTTCGCTATCGTTAGCGAAGGCCAATTCAATCACAGCGCTGGTGGATGAATCACTGCGGGCAGAGCAGGCTCTTCCCTCCCTCCCCGCCTCAAAGGTTGACAGATTCCAGGCTTCCGGCCACTTTGCCAGATCCTAAAGGACGCGGTAAATCAGCGGCGCGCTGCCCATCCATCAGCCTGACAGCCTGAGGAGCAGGGGCACCGCTGCGAAAGGGCAAGGGCTGAGCGGGAATGGCAGCAGGATGGACGGGCTGGGAAGTGTCAGGGGTGAGCTAAGAGGGATGGAGTAGCCTCAAACCCAGCCCTTGGTGCATCCAGATAGTGCCTGAAGCTGCTTCTCCCATCCCAATGGGATGCTGGTACCAGGGGAATCCATGGGAATCAAAGCCACGGTTCCAAACTGGGGTCCAGTGGGGAAAAGAGAGTTCCTGCCCATCCCGGATGCTCCAGGCTCCTGCTGTCACCCCATGATTGGATGTGGATGGGACATTGAATACGGGAGTGGATTCGGCAGAGCTGAGGAAAACTGAGGAGCAAATCACACAAAGCAGGATGGAGCCCACCCATGGGGAGACAAGAAGGATGGAGCTGGACAAGGGGAATCTTTTCTTCCCTTTTTATTCCCTCCCTGCTTTTCTCCTTGCTTTTAATCTCAATCTAATAAAAAGGGGGGTGGGAGAGTGGGGTGGGAGATAAGAGCTGCCAGGGCCAATTATTCCGATTATTCCCATTCATTATCCCCAGGAATCTCTCACCCTCACTTCCCCTCAAACACTGGCAAAAGAGATGAGGGAGGGGATGGATATTAAGGGAAAAGCTTCGGTGGAAACCAAAGTTGGATCCTTCACACAACCCCATCCCCACTGTGGGGGGCCCTGGGCTGGATGAGACCACCCTGGGGCGATGGGGTGGGTTTGGGATGTGGCTTTGGGTGCCTCCATGTCCTTGGGTGTTCCCACTTGGAAGTGGGATGCTCTGGCTCTGTGCTGGGTGCTGTTGGGGATGTGCCTCAGTTCCCCCAACTCCGTACAGAGGCAAAATTCCCTGTAACCCTCGAAAGGGAAAAGCAGGAGCAGCCCCAGGAGCCAGGATCCCCCAGGATAAAGAGGGAAGGGTTTAACCCCACATTCCTTTGGGGTCCCATTAAAGCAGGATGGATTCAGGAGTGGATTTGGGGAATATTGTCCCATGGCAGCTCCTGGATGTGGCCCCAGCACAGGAGAGGTTGAGCCCTTCCTCCACCCGGATGCTTGGCTGGATCCAGGAGATGGAGGGATGGAGGGATAACTCTATCCCTGAGTGCCCATCGGATCCCACATCCTGGAGCAGCATTAAAACACCATTGCCACATCTCTGCTTTCCACCACCTGCTCCTCCCATTGCTTGGGTTTTCTCTCCCTTCCCATCGCTGTTTTGGTGATTCCAGCCCAGCCTTTCCCACCAGGAAACATCAGGATAACTCATGGGATTGAGGTAGTTCAGATCATTGCAGCTGCAAATCCGCTTCCTCATTCCCTTCTTTTGTGCTCCCTTTGATTTAAACCCAGGAGGGTTAAATCCATCTTTTGCTCCTGTTTACAAATCCCAAAGTAACCTTTATCAGAAGCCATATTATAGGAAATCTATCCAATTCCTACAATATAAGGACAGGGATACGTCACATTGACGGGCTCGGAATGTACAATGAGCAGCTTTGGATCGGAGCGGGATGTTGAGCAGTGGCTCATACATGGGGATGAACACCCCCCTTCAGAGGAGATTCCTGCCCTGTGGAATGAAGGAAGAAATGGTATCCTAAATTGAATGAATAAATAGGAATGAAATCCCCCCTCATTGCTTTTAGCTCCCAAGCTCGTTGCTCTAAAGAGGAAACTTGGTTTGAATTTCCATGTTTAGTTCCCCCCCCCCCCCAATTCCAAGTTTTTCCAAGGGGAAAAACTCCAGGCAACAACGTCATCCCAAATCCAAACTTTCCAAGGGTTTGGATCCTTGGATCCTTTCTCCTCTATCCCTCAGCATCCCGGTGCTCATCCTGCTTCCCTCCCTCTGGCTGCTTTTGGCACCAGCTCAATACCGCCTTCCCAAATCCCATTTTCCAAGCCTTCATCCCATTTTCCTGC